GTCAGCTCGTGCACACCTTTACCCACGTCTTCGGGCTGTTTCATAAACGAACTCGAATTTTGCCGTCGGCGCCGCTCAGTTCGGCGCATTCTCCCCTCGGTTCATATGTGTTTTGTAATTCCTGGCTCATGCCCCACCCATCCTAAACTTAACCCGGACTCTCCAGGTGGTTCTTCATTTTCGTGGCAGACGGGCAGACGAATACGCAGACAGCGCATAGCGCATTGTACATAGCGCATTATGCCTAGTGGTGATTCACAGATACATTTTTATCGCGATTAATTCAGATAACATTAACTTCGCCGCTGATAAAAATGTAATGCGCGGACATAATGGGCCATCGTGTCGCCGTGGAGAGGGTGTTTTGTCTCTATTCTCCAATTCGAACGGCTTAACCAGATTCCGGCGTGACACGTGGCCGCCCCAAAGCCTTTTCTTCCTATGCGTCCCACTTCTCCCTGCCGGACTTACCTCAGAACGCCATAGAGTGTAGTTTTCGTAGGTTTAATTTTCTTTGACAACTTGAACCTCCTTGCGTGAAGCTCTCGATGATTCTTTTAATAAAACGGGGGCACTGCATAAATAGCTGGTTCCTCACAAAAATCTTTAAAATTTTACCAAAGGTAACATTTCAAAGTTTTTTGTGAGTAACCAGCTTTCTGTAAGGTAAATAATTTTTTTTAGATTTTGCGACGGCTCGCAGATTACCCTTTCTTTCCGCATCTCTTGGACTCAGGGAAGAAAGCCACGTACTCGTATATAATCCTCACATTACTTGGACCAAGTCTCAATAAGATACTAAAGTATGTAACTGTTCAAGTTTGTCACCCTCGACCTTCAATGTCAGGTCATGTACACAGTACTTTATGCTTCAGACTCTATGGGAAAGTTTGTAGTGTTTCCACTCAAGTGAGAGTGGGAATTAATGTGCTATTTGCACTCAAACAGCTTCATGACGTATGTCTCCTCTTATCACCCTATTCCTTTGAATAGCACCATGAAAACACAGTTTGTTTTATTGGTTTTCAGATTGGTTTCGTACATCGTGATTTGAAGCCAGGAAACTTGGCAGTTGGTCCTGTAGGCACGCCACAGTTCCGACTGATACATATGTTTGACTTTGGTCCTCGCCCCTCGCAAGACAATGTATGCATTATCAGAAGAAGATGGCAGCCCACATAAAATGCGGGGCCGTTCCACGAGTCCACTTCAGTAGCCTCACTTCACTATTCAGACCACAGATATGTATGAGACATCGCACAAGTAGGGGAACGCTCCGCTATTGCTCGATTAACTGTCACGAAAAGGGAGAACAAGGACGTGACGATGATTTATGGTGTTATTTGTATATGTTGATTGAGCTTCGAGGACCATTACCGTGGGCAATTAATAAGGTGAGTTCAAGGAAATCCTTCTATTTTATAAAGCGCTAACTTTGTGTGTCGGTTTGTGTATCTGTATGTGTGTGTGTGTGTATGTATGTGTGTCCGTCCGCAAAATGAAGTGAGTGAGAAGGAAGCTCATGGGATAAACAAACCGCTAACAAATCGGGTAGCTTACAGGATTTGAGATATCAATGTTTTGTAGCAGGATAGTTGTGATAACACTCTTAGGGCTATATAAACACCTGCTTAGCACACTTCCGTTCATTCCACATGGTGCTGCAGTGGCAGCTGGAGGGCAGTGGAGAGAGGAAGGGAGGATGAGGAAGGGAAGCGAAAAATCTACCGTCATATCATGATTGTGTCCCTTCTACTGTTTGAAACACCATTGTGTTGCATACGCGTCACTTCCACGAGGTGTTGGTGTCACAGGAGGAAGGGACCATAGCGGAGGATAGAAAGCTTGCGCAGGAAAGGAAGGTCCCGGCGGTTGACGGGGGACTAATCTGGTTAAATATAAACTACAGATTAGCATTGGGAAGGATGGCACATCGCAAACAACTGAATGGACAAATTCTGCTGTATTTTCCCCAGTGAACTTTTCGGACGTTCCAAAAAACACTGCTCCGGGTGCTTTTAATATAGCCAGCATCGGTGTTCATTCCGAAAAGGGTCTTTAGATTATGAAAGCCGTGCTGCTTGATTCCACATCTTTGATGGAGCTAGGTGAGATCATTTCTACGTAAGGCAAGAGTTATCATAAGGGCAAAAATGGCCGCTTGTGCGCATCTCTAGAGACAGTTCAGGTAATGTGTCCTGAAACGGGCAGTTACAGTTGGCATTATGGTCACTTGATCGCTTCGGCCGACACTAAAAGCATTGGGACGGCGGGAAAGTTACGTGCTGACTGCCGCAGAGTGGCAGAGGTTTAGGGCCACATCTCAAGTAACCAACGTACAAGGTGGCACTTTGCCTAGATGGCGAACCTGGCAGAGAAAGGGAAGTGCATGGAGATTGCAGAGACGCAGAGGGTCATGTAGAGGGCGACTAAAATGTACCCCTGAGTACATTTTAGTCGCCGTCTATCTGCGTCTCTTCAATCCCCATTCTCTCTGCAGGTCATCCATTGGTCGCATTGAGCGTCCCTCCGTCCCTGCCATGCCTAGTTGATTCGTGGGGCGCAGAGCGAATGGAAGAAGGAGGAGTTCGTGGAAGGTGTTGAGTGTGGGCAGCAAGAAAGCCACTGGAGCTATCGATAATATTGATAACTTTCTGCCAATAAGGTGATCAGCTGTCCCCTGCAGTGTTCCACTTATTGATCGTGTTATAGCTCCTTCCTTGGTCCTGGGAGCATTTCACCCCTGTACAATCATCTAGGCCATGATCTCACATTTCAAACACGTCGATTGGCGCAGTGGGTTCGTTCCTTGTTGACATTGGATCGCTCGCGGGATCAATTCTCCATGATATGCTCGAACTTTGCAACCCTCATAGGTTACTACCTTGCTTTCTACAATTCTTTCAAAGTAACCCAGCAATGCTTTGTGGTGCAGTGGCAAACGTCGCGCTCATGGGCGCTGCATTACATGGTTCAAGTCCATGGCGACGCGACTTTTGCTAGGAATGTAGTGAAGTTCGCCATTCAGAGCGGGGTCATCTGGCTGTCTCGCCTTTCATTATTCACCGTTTACGGCCGTAGTTCACCACCTTCAACTCTCACTCTATGGCACTTTAGTACCATCCCTGAAAGCGCGCGCTACCGACGTAAATGTCTTAATGGTAACGATCGTTAGTGAACTGTCGATGACCGGCAGTATTAAGATTATTTGCTATGAGTATGCATCTCAGATCCGCATGTGACATAATTCACAGCTTTTAGTAGGGAAATTTTACATCATGTCGATTCTACGTTCTCCTACATAAATAGTGATTTCACGTCACAATCAGGGCGACACTACAACCAGCTGCGATTCAAACAGCACACTTGCGTTAGTCCAAAAAAACGTTTGAGGCTGGAGCATTATTCAGGCTGAATTGGTTCAGGTCGCACTCAAGCTCAGTGATGGAATGCTAAAGAACAGCAAAAGAAAGTGTCGATAAACCACATAAGGAAACGTGGCACTAGAGAATCAGAGAACCGGGGATAAAGATGGCACCCATTGCTTATTCGACCTCCCCTACCGAACCGTTCGGGGAGTGTTCTCCCAGAGAGCTCGGTAGGGGAGGACTCGATGCTGAAGGAAAAACGAAGTCCCTGGCGCCTAGTGTCTTAGCAACGCGTTTCGAAACGCGAAGGTGGAGCAACTTCTGTAATAGCGGACCATACAACATCAACAAATGCGACTACTCCCATGGGGATGGTTTCTTGATTGGGCTTTAACATTAACGTCTGGCTGCACGATTTTGTTTCAGGGAAGGACCAAATATTCTGGAAGTAAAGAAGACAGTTGATTTAGAAGAAATGTTAAAAAACTGCCCAGTGGAGTTCATTTCCATTGCACAACATCTTATGTGAGAACAGTTGCTGAATACAGCACCATTGTTTCTTTGTTTTACATTGTACATAAATTCAGCGATGAGCATTTTCAGGACACTTAATTACTACTTACGTCCTAATTACGCTTTGATATATCGTCTACTCATGCAAGTTATGAATGCTGGAAACTTTAAGTCAGTTGTGCTTCCATTCCATTTTGAGAAAATGTGACTTTGAGAAATCTAGAAGCAATCTCTTTTGAGCGGTTTTGCTTAGCGCTAACTTTTGTTTTTTTTCGGGAAGAGGTAGTACTTACTCACTTATATAATTGGTCTAGCGTTGTCCCAAATTCTTTAACACGCCCGCGCCGACTTCTGGCGCATGTCACACATGTGTCATT